AAGAGAATTGTGAAATTGGTAAATTTTTTTATTCATTAATTTTTACTATTCATACCAACTAAACCACAAATTAGCTTACTTCTTAGTTGGCATATTATTGACTCATTCGATAGTGTTGCTGTAGTACGAAATTAAACAGGGATCCCACAGATCTGTCGCGCATGAGCAATCTGTTTAGATCTAACAACGTCAAAACATAGTTGTAGCACTAGCTACTGTAACTTTCAAGCCATAAAAGAAAAGTTTATTGATTTTATATTTTCACAGAGGACATAAAAATCTTTTTTGAGTTTGAGTTTATGAGATGTTTTGTCGAATTATCGATCTAAATTCATTTTTGGTGTTTAATAGAATAATTAATACTTCATTAAAAAAGGGTCGCTTTGGAGGTTTAATGAACTTATCACACAAACTGCTTAAACTATTGTATCCCAACTACATTCATTGAAAAATTTAGCAACTCTCTGAAGAATATATAATTTTTGTAAAGTTACTTGTAATGGATAACATATGACTTATATGATTATATATATATAAATGACGACTTATATACAGAAAAAAGTCCTTCAGTCTTTGAGATATGAAAGTCAAGTGCTTGCAACCTCGCAATCTTCGAAAAAATTGTTTGGTCGGACCCCTACGGCATTTATGTACATAACTGCTAAACAAACTGACCGACTAAAATCAAGATAAAGATCTTCATAAAATATATTTTTTCCTTTAGTTTTAGTTATCCGTTATCCAAGAGTCTCTCTACTAAAATTGTTTTGCTTCGGTATGTATATAAGTTATGTTAGGCGTCGTAGGATGGGAATAGAAAGTCCATATTAGGTACAGGTTTTGTGTGGTGCATTCTTTTGAAATTTGTAAGGAGTAGGCATCATTAAATTTATGCAAATATATTTTCACTATAAAGCAATATTAAAAAGACTAATGGGAAATAAATATTTTTTAAATTATTTGGTGTTGCTTGAAGGCATGCGTAGTTGAGAAATATAATTATTTTATTTTATGCGTTAACTAAGGATGAGATCTAAGTAATATAAAAAATATTTCCTCAAGTCGTAGGCACATTAGCCTGCGTCAACCGAATGCTAGAGATGATACCTTCGAAATGCCAAAACTTTTTTTAAAACCCAAACATTGGTAAAAACAAGTGTGAACAAAAAAATTGCTGGGGTAGCTAGAGATGTGCTCTATGCATATATATTATGGAAATTAAAAAGGATCTGAAGTTTTACGCTGAGTTGTTTTATTATTTAGCTATACTTGCATATACATACATACATACATATATGATTAAGCAGTCAACATACGAAGTATCCAGCTAATATTTAGTAATACGAATGCTTTTAAAGCACTTTTTAATAAACAGTTGGTTGTACACCTGTGTCTAAAACATAAAACCTGGCAGAAACCGACACAATATTCTTAATTTTGTGTTTAAGACAATGTAAATGTTAATATGAAAAGAGACTGTGTGAATGGACGCTTGCAAATCGGGGTTACACAATGGTTCAATACAACACCGAAACCGTTTTATGGATGAAGACATCGAGATATTATTATTCTAAACGTTTACTCGATCGCAAACAATATTTTAGTAGCTTTTCGTGAATTTTAGTGTCTTAACATTATTATAGATTGAAAATAAAATAAAGCAAATACAATCGTAAAGCACCTCTTCGCACACAACTTCCTCACATTTATGAGGAAATACACAGTTAAGCCTAACGGCAGTCGCTTTGTAGCGTTAGTGACCGGGCCAAGACAGTAAACTTTACTGTTTACATACATTCACAGATATACACATATACATATGTATAGGGTGGCTCACGAATCGTGCTACAAAAGCAAAACATTATAACTTTTTTCTGGCAGGTTATTTATTTAGATTTTTTAAACATGAATTTTTGGGATACCGAGAAGAGGGTTTGGATAGCAGCGGTACCATGCTTTGCAGTCCGTCATTTCCGTACAAAGGGAATTCAGACGGGATTTTGGCGGCACTCCCCCGAGTAGATGGACCATTATGAGTTTGGTTAACATGTTTGCTGAGTATAGAAGTATCGTAAGAAGGCCGTACCATCGAGATCCGTGTGTTTGTCTTAAACAAACAATCTCGGCCTTTGCATCTTCTATTCAGGCAATTGCAAGAATTTTGACTCGCAACTTATCGTCGCAACTTAGAATTAGCAGACGGTCATTACAACGGATAATTTATGATGACTTAAACCTGTTTCCGTACAAAGTTCAAATAATAAGCCGGTTAAATCTCTAGATTTGCCTATTCGCCTGGAATTTTGCCAAAAAATTATTGAAATGGCCGGAGAACACAATAATTCGATAAATTGCCTGTTTATGTCTGATTACCCATTTTGATCCAAACGGAAATATAAACAAGCAAAATTAGCGTATATGGAGTTATTCAAATCCAGAGATAATCCAACAAACGAAACTTCACCCAGAACAAGTCACTGTGTGGTGCGCAGTTTCATCAAGATGTATTGTCGTTCCATACTTCTTTGAAGATAACGGCATAACAGTAACTGTCAATGGGTACCGTTATTTAAAGATGTTGAATGAGTTTTTTACCCAGAACTGCTCCTAAGACGTATCCCTTTCAATAGCGTTTGGTCCCAGCATGATGGAGCAAATGCACACATGCCCAGACCTTTTTTGCGGAGCTCCAACGAAAATTTTAAAACAAATTAATATCAAGAAACTCCACTTTCGCTGGCCCCCAAGGTCACTTGATCTGACTACATCAGACTTTTTTTATGGGTTTATGTCAAACAAGAGGCGTACAAAACAAACCCGGGAATTTAGTCGATAATTAAAGCAATCCCGACTTCAACCCTTCAGGCCACAATGAATAATTTTTTAATTAGGTGTCGCACATGTGTGGCTGAGCATGGGGGTCATTTACCGTCCATAATTTTTAAAAATATTATTACGGTTTGTTTTTGCAGCACGATTCGTGAGCCACCCTGTAGTCATCTACTTGTATTTATTTTTGCTGTTTCAGTAGCACGCGCATTCACATATTAACTTTTTTCGATGAGCTGTTTTCGGTTGAGTTTTACGCCACACTCACAGCTTGTATGATGATTGTGTGAACATAAGATTTGCGATTGCGTCAGGATTCGACGAAACCGCGAAGCGCTAACAACCGAAAAGTGAATGGATAATTTTTGTTGTTAGGGTAATGAAGATAAGCGAATATAGCTTGCAAAAAAACTAATCAATTATCTGTATAAATGCATTTAAACGGCAGATAGAACCAGTAAGAGTGATTGTAATTTGTTCAAGATTCTCTTTCCCGAGTTTTGAATACCGCAAAATGTGCTTTTGTTATACAAGTATATTGACGTTTCTAAGTTAGATCTAAAATCAAAACTCCACGTGAAACAGTTGCCTTTGAACGATTATGTTTTAAACTCAAACAACTATTCATCAGCTCTGTTGTACTACTGTACTATTTAGTTCAAAACAAAAATTATTTTGATTTGAAATTTTCCGGCAAGTCTTATACTATGTATCAAAATTTCTATGAATTGTGATAAAATTACACTGGTCAACAGTGATTTTCATGTCCTTATTTCAACTTTACTTTACAATTTTACACAAATCAGAAAACATGGAACAAAATAACATATATATTTATATTGACGGTTTTGTTTTGAATAATAAAGATACATTAAAGTAAACAGAGAGAAAAACGTCGTCTTTTTAATCACCAGCACTAATCTGCCATTATGTGGCGATCCCATCAACTTAGATACCTTTCATACATCACTTTTAAATCCTGGTGAAACCGCTCTGTCTGTTCTTCACTATAATTTCATGGATTATCTGAAAATTTATCCAGATGGTTGCGGAGATAGCATAACTTGGTACCCGTATTTGCTTCTTTAATCCGAAAGCTTATCAGCATATTTTTCACAATTTCTTCACAGTTTGGGGCTAGAATATTTTCGACTATAAACAGAAAACTTTTAAGCTTCAATTTTTGGAATAGTCATAACTATGATAAAATCTGTATCTTTCATTAATTGCTGTATTTGAGAACTAGTACATTTTCCACCTTTCAACTTTCCCTTACCAAGCCTCGGAAATTTTTTACAAATGATATTAAAACGATATTATCCACGTCCACCGCTTTGAAAAATGGCTTTATCATTCCTAACTTGATCACGCATTTAATCACTGAGTTCATTTTGAGAAAATAAAATTGGTAGATGTTTTATCCTCTCATTTACTTCCACCACTAGACTGTACCGATTTCTCGGAATTTGACGACATCATTGCTTCTGAGGGCATTCCAATGACCTTTCAAAAGGAAATTTTCGTTGAGTAAGATATGGCATTTTGTAGACTGTAACTACAACTTCGTCTCCAAAAAATTTGTTCCGCTAATAGTTCTGTTCTTTTTTGAGGTACTATATTCAATTTTTGACAACACCTTTGACCCAAGTACAAAAACAAGTTTTCGAAATATATCCAAAACCCTCTGTTCTTTATTATTATTCTTCCTGAGTGAGCAATCTCTTCTTAAATCGAGAGATATACGAGGAAAGCATATAGTAAAGATGTTTAAGAAAGCGCATTTATTATCCAACAAGCTGATTGTGATCTTAATTAGACGTATGAAAATCGGTCTATCCATGTTAAACATGCCTATAAAAACCAGTCTTTAGCCAAATATGACTTTGAGACTATTTTTCATTTTAATTAAATGGGTATTGTCATTATGCTTTATGCTTTGGTGAAAAGCAAAAATTTGAACGAACTTACGTTACGAATTTTACTAGAAGATTTTATAACTGTAATTTGAATTACTCTACTAAAAGTGAATGTGAGTTTATGAACATTTTTACACATATTCCTAATGGTATTAAAAAGGTCATTGAATATTTATTATTACGAAAAATTTATTTTTTTATGAACTGTGAAACAATTTATTTTGGCAGATCATATACTTGTACATACATACACATGTTTGAATAATAAATAAGAACATTAAAAAAATGTATTTTGACAGATAATATTGTTTGTCGATAAATTTAAAAATCTAGCAAAAGAAATATGTATTAAAAGCTAAAGCAGAAAAAATTTGGGTTTTCTGTTTACCACCACCACCACCATGAAGATTATCAACGCGGTATAGTATTCGTGTACATATGTATGGTGATTCTATGGAACTTCAAATTTCAAAATAAATACACAAATATATACAAATTTTAAAATAGGTGAATATACAGAAATTTACCAAAATTCATACCTCACCGCTCAATAGCACCACTATGGCAAGAGAGACCCACTAATGTGTAGTGGATTCTCTTAGGGGGCTACCACGGAGGATAACGTGACAAAAGTCTACGATATCATATTGGTGGACCATCGAATGACGGTACCCGAGATAGATACAATAGAACCGCATGTGTCATATCCTGCACGAAATATTGAGCATGAGCACGCTGTGGGCGCAACTAGTACCGCGTTTACTCACTGTGGACATGTAGAATAACATAAGACCACACTGACGTTTTTAAGCCAACCAACAAAGTGGACTATACTCGGCAAACCTGCTCCGAAGAACACGATGACTTCCCTGGAGAAGGCTAAGATGGTCACATGGCTCTACTCTGCCAAATTATTGGGCCGACTTGGTAGCGAATTGAAGAGAATACGGTGAAGAAAAAAATAATATTTTATCATTACAAGGCACCGACTCACACCTCTAAGAAAACCGAGATAAAAACGAACTGTTGAGAAATAAATTACCATTTTCCAAAATGTTCATTTTTAATTTGTAGGCTAAATATTTATCGGACCATTCTCGTAGATACTTATATATTTCTATGTAGTAAGCTGCTCTGGGCACTAGGCACACAAAATCACCTGTCAAAAAATTTCGAAAGCTCAAAGCTAATACCTAAGTAAAAGTATGAAGTAAAAATTTAAACGCAGTTTTACTTATCGACGGAAAATTCATGGCAACTGCAGCACTTCCGTAAGTGGAAGAGAAATATTGAATTGTTTACCGCTAAATTAAACAAATGAACTTATGTAACTATATGTTTGCGATCAGAGCAGTTGTGTATGTATACAAGTAGTCAGGTGACGAGGCAGGTTACATACAGAGTGAAGCAACTAACTGACAGTTTCAGTAGTTAACCGTTACTATCTTTCAACTGGCTTACTGACTACTTGCCCCGGTGATGACACTCGCGGTGTTTATGCTTCTGGCTTTTCTGTCATGCCACACCATAATTATGCACTTAAATACATATATTCACATGCTTTTTTACACATACATACATATATTATATGTATTTTGTCAACTATCGCATGAATCTCCAAGCATATCCAGTGGTACTCGCCGCAAGTCTACTGCTGCAAAGTAACATACCTACATCTTCGTATTTGCGTGGAAGTGCATACATACATGCCGGCCTGTAATCGACGTGACGTGGGAATTGCATTTACTGCTGTAAAAATTTAGCTTTTTAGACACTGTGACATTTCGTTGTAGTTTTTGTTGTTGCTGCCATTGGCTATACTCAAGCGTCTGGGGTTACGGAAGCGAGTAACGTTGTAATAGCTGCATTTCCTCACCTTAAGCCCCTCTGGTACACTGCTAAGCGCCTGCCGGCAGACAACTATTGCATTCACTTGCAATAACGGCACTTAAAGCATCGGCTATTTTTATTTCGCTTTTTGTTGTTGTATATCAAGATGCCAGTTACCTTTCGTGTAGTCAAGTGTTTGCCGAATTTTTGGATTGTGCATCATACTATGCCGTAATTGTATTGAGTGCATTGTTCTTATAATATCTAGTTTACTTGTACATATATTTTAGTTACTGTATCCGGATTACTATTACTTATTGAGACAATTTTGTTTTTATACTTGAAAGTAACTGGTGATCGATGAGTTTACTTTTTATAACGAACTAACGGTCCAAACTTGCTTCATCCTGGTAGTAAAAATACAAAGTAAAGTGTCTGATCATGACCGGTTTGGCGAGAACCAGTATGATCTTTGTCTGTTTTACGCCAAAGTGTTATATAGCCTTCAAGTTCGCGCTCCTAGGTAGCTATTTCGGCATTTGTCAGGTATTAAGCTGATGTATTGTGTACATCGCTGTTCAATCCTCTAGAGTCTAGACATTAAATTGGGGTCGTGGTAAGGCTTAATACTCGTCATGTTAAAACAAAAACCAATCGAAGATTTAGCTTCCAAATGGTCGTCTGTAGTACTAGATTCTGATAATTTCGTGATAGATGAGAGGCTCTCAGTATACTTGGCATGCGAATAGGATCTCTAACTTCGGGCAGCCAAGGTACGGTTAAAACTTAACACTGACAATAATACACGTCTTGACGCGTAGAGAAAGCTGGACGCCTTTGGTGAGGAACTCACTGAAAAATCAAATATCTGGATGATGCCGACGAACAGTGGGGCCACATTTCCCACTTTCTATATGCTACCGCTGAAAGTGGTTTGGTTTCCAACGAAGCTCTCAATGAAACCAATGGTATGGTGAGGAGTTTCGCAATGCCAATACTGCGAAGAACTCAGCGTACAAAACGACCTTGCAGTCAGCAGCCACGCGTACTCTGTATCACAAAATGTTGTATAGTTGTGAAAATCACATCCTCAATACCAGCCCCTGTGTTCTATAGAACACGTATGTAGAATTTCATAAAAATGCATCAGTTATTAATCAAGTTATAGCTTGCACGGACGAAAAGATATTCAATGTCGGCAATGATGTTGAAGATATCCAACTCTCCTATGTCAAGGCAATACGTTCTAAATGGAATGTCATGTCTTCCAAATAATAGTCAGCATTTTCAAAGTAAATTTAATAGTGTAATATAGAGTAAAGTGACTGAAATATTATATATTATATTAGGAAGACAGAGTTAAACTAACAAGGTTTTCCTTATTTCAAGAAGGCATTCCTATTTTAACTTTACCATCGGTAACCGTACTTTAGTACTGTAATGTTCAAATCATTACAAATACTAAAATACAAATAAGATATTTAAGTAATAAGAAAAATAATTAAAAAAGATAAGATACTTAGACCCATGGACCATTTATTACCAATTTTATATAAGTAAGGCATGGTTAAAATTATTGTAACGGATTACAATCAGATTTTTTACATTATTAAATTTGTGTGCGACATATTTAAATTTAAATTGACCTGGTTAGCTCAACTGATATATATGTGGTATAAATTTAACTAAAACGACTATATTTAATGTATTGGGTATATAAGGAAACCAAAAACCAGAGAGTCGGAAATTATTATTGTATATTATATTAAGGATATGGGATTTAGTCCAAAAGTCTCACTACAGCGATTCTCTGTATTAAATTACATTTTTGTAACTTCATTTGGAACTTAGTACCTAATAGGTTTTGACTTAATTTCATTTTTTTGACTTAACAATATAACTCAATCAAGTTATCGCTTGCATGGATAGCCACCCGGATTTCAACTCGTCTCGTCGTACTGATTATTTATATACATATACATATACTCGTATAACTCGATTAGTTTTAAATAATACAAACAACCGCTAGGTGAACAAAACTATTATACTCTGTCCCAATATGTTGTGAGAGTATAAAACTTTATTGAAATAAAAAATATTATGGTACTAACTGATTAAAAAAAAGTTGGAACTAATTTTTTGGTATGAGTTGCCATAGTAAGATAAATTAGTCGAGTATTTTATAACCCTTTTAAAACATTTTAATTTTTGAACGGATTTTTGGCTTCGATAGCTTTTTAAATATATTCCCTATATTCATATGAGCTTTATACCTTTTACTTTTAAGTATTTTCTATTTAAATGATGTCTTAAGATTGTTTGGTGAATCTTTTCTCTTCGGAAAAATGTACTCCTTCCGGAATTCATCTCATTTAGAATTATAAACTCAATTAATAATATTTGTATTGTGACGAACACAGATGATAGAACAAAATCGAATCAACGATAAACTGCCAGAAGCAGCTAGTTAGCGAATTCGTAGTTGCCAGAATGTTCTAGAAGCAATGTTTTGTTACAGATTTACTATATAAGGGATGCCGGATTGTGCAGCAGAGACAGTTCTAATTAGAGTGTTGCCGTGTAAAGAGCAATAAGGCTAAAAGCAATAAGTTGTAAGTTCGAATAGCGAGCAATAAGTGTTAAGTTGTTGGAATTGGAAACAAAGATAAGTGTATAGCATTAAACTGGGACTTTAATTTAACAATCCAGTGATCGAGCTCAAGAGTGAGTTATAGTTAGACGATTTATCGAGAAATCCGTTACAGTATATTATTTATTTTGTATTCGAGGACTCTGAAAGCTGTCGAAACTATCGATAGTTTAACGATGTCTATAGAATATAGAGCACCATACAACCGATAAATCTACCTCTACTCGATGTTTTTTGAAATCGATAAAACTTAACTTTACCATTAAGTTACCTGTTATCATTCCTCAGGACTGTCACAATAGGAATACGTGAAACTAAAGAGCGTTTCATGTTCATTCCTAGGAAGAACAGAAGGAAAAATATGATTGCGTATACGCCATACATGAGCAGAGTGTCGCTTGTTCAAAGCGTGCTAAATATAATATTCTACGGAAAAGATATGAATAGTGAAAATGAGCTAAAAACTCAATTTTATGAACAATAAAACAATATAGCAAAATCTACTTCAATCGCCGCTTAATGGGGGCTGTCGCGGCATGCTTCTTTGAGGGCAATTTATAATATAACCAAACGCAACAAATCCCGCTTAAAACTCGCTAACATAACTGTATTTTGGCAAGCACTTCAGGTTGAATTGTATATTGTATATTATATATATATGTATATTGTAAACGTTGTAGCAAAGTCGTGCAGAGTCAATGGTCAAAGACTGTCAGTCTGCACTCCGTCTAGACATTCGCTTGGTATTTTACAAAACTCAAATGACTGCACCAAATGGGTAGCGACAAGTCTGCTATGCTTCACCAATTTTATAAACGGCTGTGCGATTGATCAAGCAAACTCTCTATTACAACTAGAAACTCATCATATGCCAAATTATTATCACAAGCACTTTTTGCAACCGATCATCTTTGCCGTCCATGCGCTAGTTCTTTTTATTGATGACTCGTTCGATTATAAATCGATTGCTTTGGACGCTCCACTTGGCACTACGCTGAAATGTTATTGATTTAGAAAAGTATATTTTATGACGATAGATCAATAAATGTTGTAGTAATAGAATTTGACTATGTCATAAAGCATAAAATAATTGGCACTTATGAAACTGAGATGTAAAATGTGACGGAAGAAGAGGCTGACGATTTCAGAATGCAATTGAGCTATTAAATATATTTTAAATTATAATTTTTATTTCAAATTATAAAGATTTTATTGGTTTATTAGATATGTACTTTACCTAATTAATTGTAAAATGGTTTAAGCACTTAGCAGGATATTCTAATTACAGTGATACGGCTGGTATACACTTAATTAAGTATTTCGACAAACTTCCGTTGTCGCTGTAAGCCAACGTGCTACTGTTGATCAGAAATAAATAAATTCGTTCGACTGGTGTCTAATGTTGGGGATTTTGTTCATTGCGTTGATTTTTTCATTTTAAGTAATTAATGTTACCCTGAACAGGTTTGTAATACCTGGAAAGAAACGTCGGAAAACCCATAATATATATACATATATATATGTATACTTATAAGTGATCAGCTGAGTCGAATTAGCCATGTCCGCATGTCTGTCTGTCAGTTCATTACGGCGGGTAAAAAAAATCGATAATATATATTTTTTTGCATGGTACTCTGAAAAATGCGGTGAATACATTGTTGCCCTAGAAAATAACTCATGCCAAATTTCGTAAAGATACATCGTCAAATGAAAGAGTTTTCCATACAAGCATTTGATTCCGATTTTTCAGTTTGTATGGCAGCTATATGCTATAGTGGTCCGATATCGGCCGTTCCGACAAATGAGCAGCTTCTTATTTAGAAAAGGATAGGTGCAAAATTTCAGATCGATAGCTTAAAAACTGAGAGACTAGTTCGTGCATATACAGACAGACGGACATGGCTAAATCAACTCAGCTCATCATGCTGGTCATTATATATTTTATAGATACTCCGACGTTTCCTTCTGGGTGTTACAAACTTCCTGTTCAGGGTATAATGATACATTGAGTTATAAAATTCACTAGAAAAAAAACAATTAGCCTTAATATAATCGAACTTCAAGCATTGATATCTTTTAAGGGGCTACATGGGTTTCGTCAGGTAAAAAAAGGCCTATTTTCAATAATTTTTTTCTGTATAAAATATTATTGAATTAAATCAAACTTTTTTCTGTTTTAAAGATACACATTTAAAGAATAATTTCTGAGATTTTCAAAAATAAAAAATTAAAACTCCGCCATTGTAACGTGATTTCCGGTGACCCCTCAAAAAAATGGTGCGTCCCCGTTGTCAGCATAACTCCTGACAGGATCATCTAAAATGAAAAAAAATATGTGTTTTAGTTAAGGCCATAAATTCGTGCTTGAACGAAGGAAAAAAAAGTTAAAATTGGAATTTTGGCAGACCTTTTGCCCTACAATATGAAAATTTCGGTCAAATTTGCTCGACATTTCTTTTTTTAAAATAGTTGTAATCAAAAAAACAAAATCCTTTGTCCAGCACGAGTAAATTGTATCTCAAACATCTTTATAAAATTTCATCAAGATCAGTTTAGTAGTTCGCTGGAAATCTTGACAACCGACCGTTTCGAGAAAAACGCTTTTAAAGTTTTAAGTGACTATATACCTGACCTCGAGCGCGCAACTTTTCAAAGCTGTATGTCCAAAACTATTACTGATATCAACTTAAGAATTTGGGACGATATTCGAGAGATGTTGTACAATTAAATAAGACAATAAAAAAATGATGGGTTTTTGAAGCCGTGAAAGCCATGTAACCCCTTAAATGGTTAGGTTACGAAAAATGTTTTCAAGTAGTTGGAAGCGAGATATGAATTTTTCAATATATATATAATAAACAAAAAATAAAAATCTGTAAGGCGGAGGACCTTCCCGTTACAGTTAAGAGCACATATTTCAGAATACCAAGCGAAGCTGCTGCTTTTGCATAGAGGTAGGCGTGATTATTATCGCATTTCAGCCATTTTCACAGTATGAAAAAATTCTTAAAAAGTTTTATCGAATGTTTTGCGGCTTATGCATAGCACCGTATTTTGTGAAAACATAATCTCGTGTAACATGTTTCTTCGAGAAATCTTCATTTTGAACCAAGTTTTCCTTGTACTGTTGTACGGGCAATCAGATCCGGAATTGAACTCATTTGTCATCGTGATCAGTTTAGTATACATATCTAATATCTACTTATTTATCTTAAATGAAAAGTATAGAACTATTTAACTCTATTTCAAGAGCCTAAAAACGTGAATATTAGTTCGAGTTTCTGTTTTGTTGTGTTATTATATTGTTTTAAATATACAAAAATTTATTTGAAAGGAATAAAAAACTTCGCCATACCATGAACATATGAAAATAACATTCTACTCCTATTAAACTCTTTCTTTTGGCTTTTGGATTATACTTTGTGACGATATGTTTCATAGATTTTTTTGTTTCGAAATGTCAGTAACTTTTTTCGTTCATTCGCATTTTTCAATCATTCTTTATTATAGAGTCATACGAGTCAACTCGCATTTCATCCTTGCATATATTTCATTTGAATTTTAAAGACTATAATAAATTTGAACTGAAAACATTTATTTATTAATCGTTTACTGTATTTAATTACATAATCTTATACCATAATATTCATTGTCATGCCAGATCCGATACCAACATCTGCAATTTACGCGCATCCTTGCTCTGATCGGAATGTGAAGCAGGAGCCGCCAAGTGATATTTGTAATATCAAGCGTCTCAAGGGACCTATTTATGAGGTGATACTTAAGGAGTTCTACGAGGATGGCTGTTACACATCGGCACGTTATTTTGAATATTTAGTGGCCGTGGAGCGCGATCTGATTGAACAGAAACATGAAATATATTATGTCCACGAGAATATGGACTTCCTATTGCAACTTGTTGACAATGTAAAAATGGCAGAGCAAGTTTACCATTTAGACGAAGGACATGGTGTATATATGATGAGGAGAATACTTTACCAGACTATTGGGATCGTCGAGAAACAAAACTTCGTTTGGTTGACCAAGCAATTGTACAACATCATATCCAAGTATATGCTCGATTCTACAACAAATTATTCAGCAAAGGAACAGTCCTCGAGATTCGTTTTCAAATACGCCAAGTTTCTGATGCAGCAAGGAAAACGTTGGTCCTACTATTAGTATATATGTGAGAATTAGCACTTTAATATTTATTTTGTTGAGCAGCGGAGCATCTTCGTGAAGCTACGCTTATTTTACCTACCGCAATGGATGTGGCTTGTAGTGAAAGGTGGAAGCCTGATACCAGCCCTGAAAGTGAAAAGTTCCCCACGCTGCATGCAGCTTTGGGCACCTTATTGGCCGAAATATACTTGATCAAAGCAAAAGAACCTGGCATAACACGAAAACACGCTTTGAAACGTATACAGAAAGCAATCAAGGCTATTGCTCAAGGTTTTCACAAACTTTATATAAATAATATTGTTTAAATACTCATGAATTAAAATATTATAATATATTTCTTACAGTGGGCATAAAGGCAAACAAACTGATTGCCTTCAAAGCTTTTCTGGTAAAGATTGATCTTCTAATGGAAGCTGATAGATTTGAATGGGCATTGAAAGAGATAATTCTTCTCAAGGAAAGCGTAATGAAAGCGACGGGTGCAGAGTTTCTGGAATCCAAGCTGGATGTTCTCAAGAAATTTGGCACCACATTATATTGGTAAGTTTTGCAATAGACAGAAACAAGTAAGGAAGGGCTAAGTTCGGATGTAACTGAACATTTTATACTCTCGCAAAGTCAAATGGTACAAGTATACTCGTTTTACTATACTACAAGTATAGGCACTGGGGTCCACATATTCAGTACCTATGCTGTTGAAGTTTTGGTTCAATTTAGATAATTTTTGGTCACAAGGTGGCATACTTTAAACGTATTATTCACGCAAAGGTTTACGCAGATATAACACGGGTCAACAAAAAAATAATTGTTGTTTTTCCTAAACTTTATACTATGATTTTTCGATTATTTAGACACAAAAACGAAAAGAAAATACTTTTTTTTTGTATAAAGTTTGCTTTTGCGATAGTTATAATAATAATACACTTTATTCAATTTTTTTAAAATTTTAATTAGATTGGAGTGGTGTCAAGTGATAAATAACGATCAGGTGTTTCGTACACATCTAGAAAACGTTAAAATGTCATCGAGAAAGTGTAAATACGATGCTGATGCATTTTGTTATATATGTGGTGAATTTATGAAAGTTAGAGACACTAAATATAAGGTAAAGTCATGTCAAGTTCTCTGCGATGCCTATGAAGCATATTTTGACAGTACTGTTCGAAATCAAGATAAATCATGGACTCCACATGTTGCTTGTGGTTATTATAAAAGATGTTTGGAAGGTGAGCGATTTTTAATTGAGCTGCGAATCTATGAAGTTTGCGACACCAAGAATTTGAAGATTATGATGACCTAATAAGAGATTTAAATTTACCAAAAAATAAAGCAGAGCTTTTAGGTTCTCTGTTAAAACAGTGGAATTTGCGTGATGATGTTGATATAACAGATTAGCGAACTAGGCATGAGACATTTTCAACGTTTTTCACAAAAGAAGATGGACTTTGTTTTTGCAATGACATCAAAAGCTTGAAAGCCATTTTATTACACAACGGAAATAAATTTCCATCCCTTCCAATTGCTCACTCGGTACATATGAAAGAAAATTATGATAGTGTTAAAATCTTGCTTGACGCAGTAAAGTATGACGAGTACAATTGCCAGTTGATTGGTGATTTTAAAATGGACGGATTTTAATAGGATTACAGAGTGGATATACCAAGTTTCCGTGCTATCTGTGCTTATGGGACAGCAGAGCGGATGGTAAGCACTACATTCAACGGTCTTGGCCTGAAAGAACCGAATTTTGTATCGGGAAACAAAACGTAAAATTCAGTTCTATTGTGAAAGCAGAAAAAGTGTTAATGCCACCTCTCCATATTAAGTTGGGATTAATGAAACAATTCGAGAAAAAACTCGATCAAACTTCAGAAGCTTTCGAATACTTGAGAAAATTTTTTCCGAAATTATCAGAGTCAAAGGTTAAAGCTGGGATTTTTGTTGGTCCACAAATTAGAAAAATTTTCGCCGATGAGTTATTTGAATAGTGAAACTTAATAAAAATGATAAATACATTTATCTATGTAGTTCTATCTTAAATTAAACAGTAAAACCACAGGTTTTGAGAAAACTCGTTTAGTTAGTTTCCTGACCACAAATCAACAAACTTTTGAAGGTCATATATTTTTTTTTCGTGTATTTGTGACCTAAACTAAAGAAATTTTACACTTTCAAGTCGAGGTCAAATTTCGTGTTGATCCGTGTAATCATTGTTGCTTGATTTGCATACTGGAAAGTGAAAGAAATCAGATGGAATTTAAAATGATGTTATATAATATGAGAAATAGGCGGGGTTGTCACGCGATTTCATCCATTTTCACACTGTCAATAGAGATTTAAACTCGTCTCTTCATCCTGATCATTTATAAACACACATTTAACCCTATATCTAACTCGATTAGTTTTAGGTGATACATACAACCGTTAGGTGATCAAAACTATTATACCCTGTAGCAACAAGTTGCGAGAGTATAAAAATTTTAAAACAGCGGGGTGTTCAGAGTTCTTTCGCGTCGTACTATATTCTGCATTGGTGACCTTCGGCCGCGCGTTAAAAAAAATAACCCTGGTCAAGAGAGCCATTTAGAGTGGAACTACTTGTTTTTGTTAACTACGACTGTACTGTACCTTTTGTGTCCCCCTGCGGGTAGGGGTAAGCATTTACCCGCGGTAAGGCATGCCTGTCGTAAAAGGCGACTAAAAGCCAAATGCACTATGACTGTTATTATGCACCTTGCTCAGTAATATCAGCATAGTATGTCAGAAATAGTGCTATAATACTCAGCTTGAACTGATATTAGAGACTTTAAATGAAAAAGCAAATAAAAAGACATTTGAAGTTCAAGCGAAAAATGTCACCAGTCATTGAGTAATGGGTTGCTCAACTGGCAGTAGTTTCGGCTACGCAGTCTTACCGGAGACTTTCTGGTACCACTTCGGTCCAATCTGCACATTGGGTTATGGCCCCTTTGGGGAGATTCGTGGTGGCTGTGGTTTAAACCTAAATGCAGGAAGAACTGAAAATTCAGCCAAACTGTTTTTTCAGTTCTAACATAAAGTTGCAAAAAGCAACTGGGTTCCGTACCCGGAAACGGAAGAGGTTTAAGGTCGGCCTCGAATCATACCAAGATGGTAGTGTGGACCCAAACACACTTCCACTGGTATCCAAATAAATACTTGCAAATAGCTCGTATTGTTTGGGGCGCTTATCAACGCATTGTATTGATACGCTGTGTTTTGGAACACCGTGAGGTAAGGCCGTCGCCGGCAGGTACTCACGTAAATCAACAACGAAAGTTGTACCTTTTGTGAAGATATTAAACCACAAAAAGCCCTATACGGCTAAGTTGTAAAGTTTTTCAAAAATATTTTATCGTGTATGTATTTTGATATATCAGCATTTTAATTTGTCCACAATAAGTTTATCGGTATTTTGACTTATCTGTATATTTGAATTTTGTCGGTATTATGATGGGTCGGCATTTTAAGTGTTTCCCTTACAGTCCCTATGGTGAATATTTCAAAAACCAATTTGAAATTTTATATTTTGCGACGAATTTCCAAAGAATGTTTTTAAAACCAATAACTTTTCTACTTTCTTGATAAACAGCCTTGACCAGCCGATTGGTGCCATAGAAGTTTTCGCCAAAGCTTTGGATATATGCAAAGAAAATGAATACTGGCAAGGTGAAGGGGATATTCTAGTGGAAATAGGGCATGCACAACGCCGCATGACCGGTGGCCAAGTAAGAGGACGTTTGGCATTTGAGCTAGCTAAAATCCATTTTGATCATCAAGCCAATCACGCCAAAGTCTTGAGTACTAAATATATGATAGCTGCTTTAAGATCCGAGCTTATACAACCTGAGTTGGTGAATTTAATGAAAGCCGAATCGTTTTGTAACTTTTATCGACTAAGGCGTTGGAAAAACCTTTGCGAGCGTTTTTGGGATGAAGATAATCAAGTTGGCTACATAAAACAAAATACTTTGAGCAACATGTCGAAGTACTCATCTCAAAACCTATATAGACTATACAATCTTGTATTGAACACGCGTACTTCCGTTTCTAAAATAAGAGCTTCGGAAATAGAACACATAACATCCGAGGTCCCCAGTAGTGAAGAGAGCGTTGATTTGGAACGTATTGTCGCTGATAATTTATATTACAACGACGAGGATTCAGAAACTGACGTATGTATAGAGAAAAGCATGATACCTGAGGAAGAAGAACAAGCGGAGGAGTTCTTTAGTGCAGATGGCGATCTTTCAAATAGCAGTTATATATGGGATATAGAAAAAGGGGGTAAAACTAAATATTTAAATATAGTAACTCAAGCTAGGCGCTTTTCAGAAAGTATGGTTTCAAGAAGATCTACACCCCCAAGCAAGTGGGTCGTGAGGGACTCTGATCCAATATGTTGCCTACTACGAGAGGAATGAGAGGTTATTGTATTTTACATTTTATACGTTTTCTCAAAAACATTCCTCATTACATATGGAAATATTGTACAAAAAACTATTTACAGATATTTCTTCTTCTTATTTAATTGAACTAAATAATACTATTTATAAACATGTGTATAATTCCGGGTCGAATGGGTTAAGTATTTCCCTGTTACATCTCGTATTTAAAGCTAAATTCTTCACTCTTGATTTAATGATGACGAAACGAGAGGTTTTAAGGTTATATGGAAAATATTAGATAACAATTACGATACCCACTTAATAATAAAGAGGGGGAATCGGGTAATAACCACGCCTACTTCCCATATAATGACATCATTCAAAATTAGAACGTAAGTCCTACGAATTAGTTTAAAAATTGAATTGTGGGGTTCATCTCTTTTAAATAAATACGCCCACTCTCTCTGGTATTCTATTCATAAGTATAACTCAAACAGCAACAAAAATATCGAAACAAATCTTAACCCAAATACTGCCTCATCTACCGAATAGAGAAATAAGAAGCTCCTTGGCACCAGGGTTTAGGAATTGTAAGTATATTTATACTACCTATATACACGAAAGCACACCTTTCTTACTCGGTTAGGTTTAGATTTATAAAAGTTAAGTGTGGTCCAATGAATTGGCCAAAAGGAAATCATATTCGTAGAGAGTTAGAAAACCAGAATCATACATTACCTCTCGTTGGCCATTCGACCATCAACGCAGGATCCTGTACACCTTTGCTTAGGCTTGCGTTGGTACGAATATCCCCTTATTGCAATCATTACATTTATTGAACCAACATTTTTCTATTTAAATATTAATTATAGTAGGTTTCTGAAAACTTTTCATTTTTTCGTGTTTTACAATTTGACGCACATATATATTTTATATTTTTATTTAACGACAGAAAAGTAGACCGATACTGACCACACTTTGACTCAAAATAAACCAAAAGGACAATTGATTTACTACTGACATACCTAATTATACCTATAGTATATACATATAAATTGTGTATTTCTTAAGAGTGTGTTATAAAATGCCGATTCGGAAAGCTGTAGTCTTCTTCAATCGGGAAAAAATTCGTTCTCAACTCATTGAACTCGACTACATTCAAGCACGACGCCTGAAAGGACCCATCTATTGTGCCCTAGTGAAGGAACTGTATGAAGAAGGCTGTAAAATAGGGGCTGGTCACCTGAAAAACTTGGCCGAAAAAGAAGATTTCTTCTATGAAACTAAAGTTATACGAGATCGTGTTTGCGATAATGTAGAACTGTTAATGGCATTGTTTGAGAATATACGCGTCGCCGAGAATGTGCATATACTTGGTCACGCACAGGGCTACAAAACGACAGCCATGTGCCTTCATCAGATTATTCAATTGCTGGAACCTCATAAAATTAAATTCGATTGGCTACTCGAGGATATATATAGTATAATAATACCGATCTGTGAATATATTGAAAGCATTACTAATCACAATGCTGAGGAAACCATTGCTCGTATCTATTTTAAAACCGCAAAATTTCATAGTTTAAGTGGTTGGTTGCCGTACAACAGAATTAACATAAAAGAGGTTTTAAGTTCCCCTGAATGATCGTATTTTGCAGAAAACTCCTTACCGAACGCAATCAAGTTTATGGAAAAAGCGATGATATTGAGCCGAAATGAAGCATGGGTTTCAGACTATATAACTGAACGTGAATGGGGTGTTTATCCGACGTTGCACTTGGTAGCGGGACGCGAATTCGCTGAATTATTGTTACGCTATGGAAGCGTTGTGGCAAAACAAGATGCCAACGCTGCGGAGAAGTTATCGCACAAAGCTACAATAACCATCGCTGAGAGTAAGTATTCTTATAAACCTCTTCAAAATTGCTTCCGAAACCGTTCGCACCAACTATGTTCGACATTTAGTCCCAAATACAAAACCCCGAATCCTGACTATACAAGTATGTTATATGGCCACTTAAAAAGGGCAGAACGGTACACTGACAATGTTGAAAAATGTACGTCCCTCTACTTTACACACAATCTCGGCTGCTATGACATTTCGCTGGCCCCAAGCAAAACCAGTCACCTTCGTAGTCTAGAAACTCTAATTATCTAACTCAGTCCTTTTGTATTCAAAGTTGGTGTAGAAAAGAATAAAATTCAATACATACGTGCACTGTTATCAAGAACACAATACATGTTGCAATCGGAAGACTATGATGCTGCTTCAAAAATGCTGCTAAAAGTGCGGAAAGATATGGCCTTTGGGAGCGAGGTAACGGATCTCAAGCAGTTATTTGATCTATTTCTATATGAGGGGATATGCTTATGGAAGTAAGTGTCAGTTTAAATAAAATTGTTATATTCTCGCAACATGTTGCACAGACTTTACTAAGAAAATGGCTGTTTGTCTGTCCGAGAACTAAGATAAAGGAAATAAGAAGAAAAATGGAGTCAGCTCTGCCCTATGATCGAGATAATGTTCGATTCTCTTTCGACCGATCTTAACCAAACTCGATGATAACTCAAACGAATGAGATACCAATTACCGCGCTCATGTCCAATCAACGGTATTGCTCAAAAGTTCAATAGCTATTCACAAAAAAACGACACAGTCATAAAATTAAGTACTGAGAAGCATAACAGCTTATATTGTTACTTGGCCATAAACGTGATGCAATAATTAACTTAAAAACTAATGAAAGTATCAAATAGTAAGTGACAGGATCTACTATATATCTTTCCTTAACTACAATATGTCAAATAACTATAATCTCGCCCTGCCCGATATATCGGTCAATATGTAAAATATCTTCATGAGAACAATTTGATAGATATGCCAAAACTTGATGAAATCCGTACTTTACTGCTCTCAGTTCCTACATAAAGAGTACTTTATCCGGTAATTTTAACGCAGAAACCTCAAGTAAAAAGTGAATTCATTTAATTAAACAAAGTATGGTTTGCTTTTAAGATTACAAATGAAATTATCTAACCTTATTATACCCTTTTCCTCACTTTTTAAAATCTTAAGATTTGCGAGAGTATCCAATGTTCGGTTCCTTTCGAACTTTATCTTCTCTTGAAATACTGTGATGTACTGAAATTAAATCAAAATGATTTTTAAGCTCTAAGGATAAAAGCGGTGCTCTTTTGAAACTGCAAAGAGCTTTGCAATATGGACTAGAGAGTGGTTGCAAAAGCAGGGAAGCCGAAGCGCTTGTGGCTATAGGTAAGATACATGCGGGAAACTCCTTAGAAAAAGGACCTGCTCGACAGGCTTTTACACGTGCAAAACAAATCTATGGGGAACTCGGTGACGTCTTGAATCGGAAGAAGGCCCGCTATATGTTGGCTAAGTTGAAAGCCGATGAGATATTTCCGTTTTTCATGGATTTGCTGAAGGATAGCAAGGAGCGATTTTGTGGATTCTATAACTTAAGACAATGGAAAAATTGCTGCAAAGCATTTTGGAAAACAATGGGTGTTGAAGCATTGGAAACTGATAAAATGTATTGCCTCTTGGAGGACGAAATTAAAGATACATTCGCTTGGAAAGATGATCCTTTCCATTGAATACCAACAACACTTTCATCAACAAGTTCGGGCTAATCAAAATTGATTTATTAATAAATGCAATTTCAAATGAATATTCCACAAAGTCAATGATCTATGCCAGTTGGGGTTTTTATAGAGCGGATTTCAGCTATTCCTCAACAAGAATAAATTGGGAGTAACAGATGTAATCGCCTTGCGAAAGGTGAAATCCATGAAGCCAACGGAGTTATTTTGCCGAAATTAACAAAAATGTCCTTGTCCAAAAAATGAAATGAGTGTTGGCTGTGGTAATATCTGGCGAGGAAACTACGTCTACCCATCCTTCTGCTTAGTGCTTCGACATTGTTGTTGTAGTCGCAGAACATCCCAAATATCTTTGAGTAATGCTGACAAGTTGACAGTTCTTGGAAGAATAAAGATTTTGGTCAGTTCGCGTTACGTATACCCGACTGTCGTGGGAACGGTCGAATCGTTTACCTGCTCTGCCAGCTTCCTCACCCTATGATGATTTTACTGACAATAATGTGGTGTACCCTGAAGACCGCTAAAACCAGACAACTTTCATTGTCTATGTTCACTAGATATCCCGTTAGGCAACTTGTAGATAGGGTAACATGTTCAAAAATAAATACTTCGAGCTTACACATAAAGGTGAACCGGCCAAAGTTCGGAGGAACATTTTAGCTAGGTTTTTAGACCACAACTATTGATCAACAGCAAGCTCCTTCCAGACTGATACATACAGCTGTTGTCAGCTAATTGAAAACGACCTCTTTTGGTAAGCGCTTGATGAACATAATTTTAAAATTCTTAAATTTGCCGTTAATTCTTTACGATACTTAGTGCAAGACAGTTGATTAGAAATAGTTGCTCAACGCTAATTTATTCGGCACGTTGATTTTGATAATAATATAAGCGAGTTTTGGAGAAGCACTCTATACACTTGCCAAATGCTCAAAAACTGGTTTTTAATGCATGTCCATAATTTTAAAACTATTACCGCCCCGGAAAATTTCAGCAGGTATAAATTTCAGGATAACAATCATCTTCTCATCTCCTAAAGAGACCTAAAACAGGATTCCACTGACATTAAACGCTGAGGTCATGATGAATTTAATGTCGAAATATCCAAGAGGATTGTTTGACGTTTGGTCGAATCTGGACTGCATGACCATGCAAGACGCCGCCTTGGACAGCTCATTTGGTCTCATATATCGTAAAGAACGATCAAAAGCAGATTAATCGCATATTCCTTTATAGTCGAAGATGTTTTCGACGGTCAACAAATCAACAAATCAAGAATTCAATATTCCCTGTTTCCTGCGTTTTTACTGGTATGGTCCACTCCATAGGATCGATGGAACTTCCAGTAAGGTGAAAAACGTCAATATACTGGAAAATATCATGTTGCCATGGCCTTGATTGTTACATTGAAACGGTTAACGAGACAAAACACACGGCAAAGTTTACGCAAAAGCTTTCCTGCAAAAATTTTATCAATAAAATATCCCTGGAGTGACATTAACAGAGTCAGTGCCAATAGGATCTCAAATATAGATGCATTTTAGATAAAGTAAGAACAACACGGCAATTAACATCCCTTGGGAGCTGTCGGAAGATTATTATTATGAGGTTCTTGTTTCAGTTATTAATCATAAAATCTCAATTGAATCTTTCAAATACGATTATCTTCAATTTCAATTGAATATTATTATATATCATTTATAAGAAGCATTTGGCATTTCGAGACTATGCTTTAAAGATGTCCAAACCACAACACTACAGTTGAAAGAGCGAAAATTACATATCGACAGTGTGTTTATACCCATTTAACAAGTAAAGATTGTTAACATTTAAATTGCGAAATATTTAAAAAAGGCTTATCAACATATACATTTTTCAAATTTATTTATTTCTTTTTTTTTTATTTTTTGCAAGTATCGGTACGGGCATTATTTTATTGTGAAATTCTTATAAAACCAACTTATACTTTAATTGCCCCAAACTTGGATGAAATTACATTTGTAGGTGTTTGTATACAGGAAATTGCTTATGTTTTCTTACTTTTACACAATTTAAGTGTAAATTTCGAAAATTTTTCCTCGTAAATAAAATTAATTTTTGCAAGATTAATATAATGATATAACCATTGTGCATTAAATTACTTTAAGTAACTAAGTGAAACATTAATGATCTTATATACAAACGTTAAAAAGAAACATAACGGAAATTTATTAAATGATATTCGATCAATATCATTGCAAAAATAAAGGCACCGAATAGTCAGCTAGTAAACACTAACAATTACAACCGCCTGCAAGAATGCCAAATATGTAACAAATTGTCATGGTTAGAGTTTAATTTCGATTATTCAATTCAAAATACACAAATATACAATACGTGTGTATAATTAAAAACATAGGGTAAAAAGGAAGGGATATTTATAAACAAAATTAATCACGGAATTACTTTTCATGTTTTTGTTTTTTGTAGAGTACCTAATTAATTAACGACCACACTGCTAAATTATCACTCGGTTGTCACTTTCGAGCTCAAAAGGTTCGTAGCTTCAACGGCCGAACCCAATTTCTTATCTTTAGAAATCTCATCGATACGTTCCTTTACGATTCCGTCGATTATTTCGCTATCTTGTATTGCGCTGTCTCCTAAGAAATTTGAGTTAGCAGTATCGTCTGGAATGAAAAATTTGGTTTATTTAAAGCAAAAAATAATGCTGGCAACTTTAGAAAATCGAATTACCATCAACAAACAACTGTAAAGATATGTCATCATCTAAGGTATCTCGCAACTTTGTATCGGTTATAGAAATATTATCAGCTGATTGGTTGTCATTTATTTTTGTGTCGGAGATATTGTTTGTATTTGAAACCAATTCAATATTATCCTTCATTGTTTCGAGTGCTTCCTTTGAACCAACAGCGTTTTCATTGCACATAATGGTGTTGACGATGTCGTTTAACGATTGAGAAGGCGACACTGAATCAATACGTGTAAGTTGGGGAAGCTCTGCTAAGTCCATGTCTACTGTTTGCGTTTTCGTATCCTCTACCACATTTTTATTATTTTCAACAAATTCAATTTCATCGATAACCTTGTCAGTGGTGGCCACGTTTTCGATATTTGTCATTGCCTCTGACTCCGTATTACTGAGATTTGGTTCATTGGTGTTAGGAGAGAGCGAATCTTCCACGGCCGAAGCGAAACTTTCTCCTGATGTGTCTTGAACAGTGTCTGTATTGTCAACTACATCAATAGATTTAGGTTCTAATTCACTGTTGGATGCTGCATTAGGTTTTTCCGAAACAACATCATCCATGGTATTGGCGGAACTAGTTCGTGATATGCGACGTTCAGGTATTTCGATGGGCACTTCAACAGATATAAGAAAATATTTAGTATGTTTCAACTGGGAAAAATATACAATTATCATCGTCATTACCTATATATTCACACTCGTCGTCTTCATCGTCCTCCTCGTCAACTTCAGCTGCAGTTAAACGTCGCAAACTGCTTGGAGGCATTTTTTCGTTGGCCAATTTAAGCTGTTCTTTGCGTGGGCTAGGCGTACCATCCCCTTTTAGTGGACTAAATGATTTTTTTTCACGCTTTTTTTTACCTGGCGATGCAAATGGCGTGCTAGCAACTATTGGAACAACAAAGAGCGAGGGGTCTAATTCGATATCGTCGACAACTTTACCATTTTCCACTTTTTTGAGGCGCGCTGGAGTTACAGTTAAAGAGATCGGTATCGGATTCGTTAATTTCATAGCTACTTCCGATGTAGACGCTATATCTGCTTCAGATACCGGACTTATATCTGCTTCCTCCGAATCACTGCTATCTCCAAATATTTCGACCTGATCGCGAAAAGATACAGACAGATTTTTGGATTTTGATCGTTTTGCTTGTAACCGACGAGCACGGGCATTAGACTCAAATATCAACATCATCGGATGCGAACACCGTTCGATTTTAACACGAGAGCAAAATACGCGCTTGCCATACATTTTTATAAGTTGTGTTCTTGTGAACTTAGTAGGTTTGGTGCTTGAAATTGCAGCAGCTGCATTTAGTTTCTTCGCAATTGTCCCAGCGCTCAACTTTTGTGAAAACCTTTTTTCTTTTAAAGCTCCTTCAGCTTTTGTTTTTGACCTGGGTGATCGGGTAAGTGCGTTTATCTTTATGAAAAATCCAGATGAGTGTTTTGATTCTTTTTCGTCAAAAAATCCGCCACGTTTAGAAGTCGATGCCTTTTCTGAAGGTAGGGTTCTATCAATTTTATCATTTTTACCGCTGTTTTTGCTTTGCTTCTGGTTCTTCTCTTTTGCGTGGAATTCTTGTTTGAGTTTTGTCAAGTCTTGTCTCAACAAACGCACCTTACAACGTTTAACATTAAAATGTGGTAACTGTTGTGCTTTAACGAGCACATCTGGATCAAATAGTTTTTGCTGTGCCTTCGTGGGTGTTGCCTTTTTGGGTGACTTTTCTCCATTTTTTAAAGCTGATCCAATAAGGTCCGCTGCTTTCTTTATATATGTTGGAGATTTTGATGTTTTACCAAGCTTCTGATTTTTACAATCTAAGCCTTCCATTTTTTTCCTCTCTAAGAGAACTTTAAATGGTCTTACTAATAGGCCTTTTGGAGGTGATAAACTGCGACTTTTGCTTATATTTTTTCTGACAAATGTTGACGCAGGTGGAGGCATTGATTCACGACGCACTGCAGCATTATCTGTAAATTTGGTTTCTGTCGATATCCTCTTTATTTTAGTGGGAGTTTGCGAATCTTTAAGTGATTCAGGAGAAGGTGATCTCTTTGAAGCCTTTATGGACTCACGTGTATTCGTAGACTCAGCAATTTTCAAATTTGCCGGAGTCTCTGTTTTTAGTTGGTCGAACAGCGTATCCATTTTTATAAATTATGCCCCACGATACAAGCTACAATACGTAAAAATATGTTAGGTAAATAGCCATTCATAAACCGCCATTACAGACTGATATTATACTTACTACAGTTTTTAATGTATGGCGAGTATTTTACTATATAAGTCTATTAATGCCTAAATAGCTATTTAAGATATATTATGACTGTTTATTTAACATTTTCTTTACAAATTGCGGAATATATGCCAAGAAAACCACCGAATTTTTGTGCAGTGCAAAATAGACGCGTTCTGTAAAGCTCTTTTCGCCGCAATGATTTTCGCCGTTCCAATTTTGACAACTATTTTAATTGTAGAAGAGTGAAATGGCTATTGCTCACTAATTAGTGTTGTAAAGTTGCCACATCAATTTAAAAACAAAAACAAAACTGCTGATTTGGGAGCACTTAAAATATTGTTGCATTGGATTTGTGTTGTGAATTGGTGTGTCGAAGATAAAGTAAACGTTTGAAGCAGGGGAAATATATGTAACTATTTTAAATAAAATTTTAATAAAAATAACTCTTAATTTTTCGATCTAGTAAAGCAGTTGGATTTAATCATTATGTATTATTTTGTCTGACAGTTATAACTTATGTAATAATGACATGCGTGATGTGCCAGTTTTCTAAAAAAGAAAAGATCCGAAAAATCTATTTTTAGCACTTTCCCAGCATAGAGCCGCACCAAAAATTGTGCGAGACGCTTAAAAAAATATTTTTCTTAGCTCGGTTCTGTTCCAGTGTACTATCCTTATATTTTATATAGTGATACAAAGCCGGTATAACTATATTCAAAAGCTTACTTTTTGCTAAATTAAGCTAATATACGTTTTCAAATTTGTTTAATCAATTGTATTTTTAGTTTGTCAACAAAATGGATCCGGAAGCATTCTTGGATATGGCTAATCAGGTCATAAAGTTGAAAATGTTTCCTTACTTTGATATTGCACACAGTCTGCTTGCTGCGCTAGCTGTTAGAGAAGATCTAGGTTCAAATGCGCAATCATTCTCACGTAAACATCCGCTTGCATGTTGGCTATCTACTATGCTTGTAATCTTCTCCGGCGGCATGGTCGCCAATGCCCTGCTTGGTGAACCTATATTGGCTCCTCTGAAAAACACACCGCAATTATTCGTGGGCACAGTCGTATGGTGAGCATATATATATTATACATACATACGTACATAAATTTTAAATGCATTTATTCTTTAACAACAATTTAACAGGTACTTGGTTTTCTACACACCTTTTGATATCGGCTATAAAATTGGCAAGTTCCTCCCAATTAAAGTAGTTGCTAGTGCAATGAAGGAGATTTACCGTGCAAAGAAAGTTTATGATGGTGTCTCCCACGCTGCTAAGTTGTACCCAAATGCCTGGATAATTATGATTATAATTGGAACATTGAAGGGCAATGGTGCTGGATTCACTAAACTTTTAGAAAGACTGATTCGAGGAGCCTGGACACCGACAGCTATGGAATTCATGCAGCCTTCATTGTAAGACTTTAAAGAGAAATATGTATAAAATAATTCGCTTACGTTTGTTTTTCATTGCTTTTCAGCTACACCAAAGCTTCTTTGTTAGCTTCAATAATATTTGTACTGGATAAGAAGACAGACTGGATTTCAGCACCCCATGCTTTAGTTTACTTCGGTATTGTTATATTCCTGGTATACTTCAAACTATCTTCAATACTTCTGGGTATACATGATCCTTTCCTACCATTCGAAAATCTGTCCTGCGCAATATTCTTTGGAGGAATTTGGGACAGCTTAGCAAAAATCTTGGGACGTGGTCAAGCAAAAGAAGGTGAAGTAAAAGAAAGCAAAAAGAGCAACTAAAAAACCGATCAGCAGTGGCTTTGTCGAAAATTGAAAAGACGTTAAAAAGTGGTTTAAATCTATAAACTCCAAATACAACGACCTTTTTTCGAAAAGATGACATTAACGTAAACGAGTTTCCTCTTTTTGTTATTTTGTTTATTACTACATTTAAATATTGTTCAGTTTGCAAAAAAAAATGTCCTAAGCAACGTATTCTAGTCACTTTTATACCATAGCGCTCAAAATGTAACGCAAATGTAAACCATAAAGTCGTTCTTGTTATTGAACATCAAGTGGGTGTGCTTGCTCAATGATGAAATTGACTTTAGTGTAAAAGCGTTTGTATTGGAGTTTAATTATTTCGTTAAGTGTAGTATTTTAATTTTTTTTTTTTAATTTTTTCACCAATATCAGCAGCGGGCAGAAATACATTTTAAATACAAATGACTTCAAATTTATTTTAATTATAATGATTATATGCTAAGATCTTGCCAAATCTAATTTAAAAACTTACGTACCAACGTTTGTATATATTTAAAAAGTATGATGGGAAAATAAAATAAGCTTTATATCAGATATGGTCACGGGAAAGACTTTTCGATGTTAAATATAGTTAAAGTAATTTTACAAAAAAAAAAAAATGAAAAATTAAATAAAACAATACCTTTGAGATACCAAACTATAATAGTGTATTCTATTTTTAAGAATCAGAACCAATCATACGCAGACGTCGAAAACATTTTTTTTTTTTTAGGTAAACAATTATACTAACTTTAAAAAATAGATATAGTCAGACATGACAATTTGACAATAAACACAACAACAGCTTCTACGTTACCGGAATTGATAAGCATGCTGATGCTAAAACATCTAGGATCGACGGCAGTAAGCTACCTCACCAAGGTCCTCAACTTGTCGATGGCCACTCTTCAAATACCCAATGTGTGGAAAGTCGGAATAGTGGTCCCACTACTGAAGCCTGGGAAACCCGCCAACAAAGGGGAGTCTTGTCGTCCGATAACTCTCCTTTCCCCAGTAGTGAAGGCACTTGAGCATGGCTTTAGGAAAGTGCACAGCACTACCACAGCACTTAGCGTCATAAACGCCCAGATAGTTCATGGCCTAAACCAGAAGCCACCCTGCGAGAGGACGATCCTCGTAGCGTTGGATTTGTCGAAAGCCTTCGACACAGTCAATCACACAACGCTACTTTAGGACATCGAACAATCTACGCTCCCTCCAGGGCTGAAGCGGTGGACCATGAACTACCTAAGCGGTCGGCATGCATCCGTACTGTTTCGAGGTCAAAACTTCAAACTGAGAAGATTTAAACAGGGGGTTCCGCAGGGTGGTGTCCTCTCCCCTTTACTGTTCAACTTCTACACCTCGAAACTCCCCCAACTACCAGAGGGAATTTCCGTGACCTCGTACGCTGATGACTGCACGATATTGACGTCGGGCAATGGAATCGATGGCATGTGCTCAAAAGTAAACAGCTATTTCTCCGATCTTTCTCATTTCTTCTCTGCAAGGAGTCTGACACTCTCCCCCACTAAATCCACGGCGACCATATTTACGAACTGGACGAAGGAGTACAGACTAGATCTAAACATTTCAGTCGATGGTACCAAAATTCCGACCGTAAACTACCCTAAAATTTTAGGCGTTACACTAGACAGTCTTTGCTCCTTCACTCCTTACACGACCGCGATAACTGCCAAAGTACAGAGCCGCAACAAAATCCTCAAATCGCTTGCCGGCAGCTCTTGGGGAAAAGACAAAGAAACGTTGCTGGCGACATATAAGGCAATCGGCCGGCCGGTCCTAAACTATGCAGCCCCAATATGGTCGCCTGGATGTAGTGCTACGCAGACGAAGAAGCTCCAGACCTGTCAGAACACTGCACTCCC